ATCTTGCTCAAGTCTAGTTGACTCAAGTCACTGAGTTAAGCCAGGTGTACCCATGACTCTGAGGGATGCGATACTTACAGGAATTGTACCGCACTGTCACCACAGCAAAAACTGCAGATGAAAACATGGTGCGAGTGAGTGTGTGTGTAAAATACACACACTTACCGAGGGCAACCTAATGTGCGCAGACAGTCACTTATAGAACTAAGTTTACTATTAATTACAAAGACCAAAAATTGACAATTAGAGCTTCAAATTCAGCTATGACTGTGCTACTTGATTTTACAGCAAATCTGAAGCAGAGGGAAAAACAGGGAAAATGTTCTGCAGGACCACTACAGTCTCCTAATGGCATCCATCTGTAGGTTTACCCATCAAGGCACAAATGAACTTAAGATTTCCCCCTTTAAGTTAAATACAAAAAGCATATTTGGTTACTACTGCTTTGCAGTTTCACATTCACTGGCTGGATATGAGGAATTAAGTCTTTCTCTTAAACTGATGGGTATCGCCTGCATTACTCAGATTTTGCAATGCTGACAATGAAAAAAACCCAGGTTGTGGGGAGCTTACAAATACCCAACTCTACTTTACGGATTTGCCACAAGGCTTTAGATGTACCAAACAATCCATTTAAGATGGGAACACCTGACTGGACTAATTGTTGTTAAGCTAAGAATTATCTAAGATTTTTCTCATAAAATCAACAGCTCCAAAGTCTGCCATTTTTATTTAAAATGCATCTGCTTGTGACAAAGTCATCCAGTGCTAGTTCAGCTACCACAGATATGGTCCGGTAGGGCAATGATAACGTAAGGTTCTTGATCGGTAAAGCAGAAATCACATGTCATTCAGAACATAGGCTTGGTTCTTGCCAGTGATGTCTCCTGTCTGATCCAAGAGAACTCAGTCTGGAAAATCTTCCTCTTCTCCAAATAGAAATACTGTTTTTGAGAGGTGTGAGATGACATTCTCAGCAAGTCCAAGAAAGCCACAGCGGTTTTATCAGAATAAACCTGATTCTGGCTAATAAAATTATGTTCCCAGGTGATATGCCAGTTAGGAAACAAGGACAAGTCTGCCAATTCTGTGTATATTCATGGCCTCACTTAGTAACCAAAACACTTAACATCTGCAGCTCTGCGGAGGTGACTATACAATCAAGTCTCATGCTCTAGGAGCATCTCCCTCAGTCATCTAAATAAACCATTTTCCCTCTACCCATGTCTTTTGAAACATCACACATGGAAGACTGGCTGAGGAAATATTCCCAGACTGTAGGGAGAAGCCTCTTTGATACACAAACGGTATGCCTTACCGTTCAGTGGTGTGATTCAAATCGATTGCCAGACTTACAATTCCCCTCACCTCACTCAGCAGGCAGACTTTTTCACATCCATTTCCAGCCTGAAGCACAGGTTACTAGCTGCTGAGAACTTCTGCCTGTCTACTCATTTCTCTTTAACTGTAAGAGTGTTAAATATATGTGATGTTTACTTTTTTTTGATGTTTGGTTATGCCAGATAGCATCCTTCAGCTAAATATTTCTGTCTTTCAGGGGACTGCCAACAATCAGAGGTCAGGAATTTAGAATCAGATAGGTCTCAAATGGACTTGTCTTCTAAAGAAGAGCAGATGAACTCAGGCTCTTCTGACCTTAAATTCCGTGAAAGCTATCATACACCAGTCATGGGTGATCGCAGAAAGGCAACCTAACCAGGCAACGAGAACGTACGCTTCAGCTGCTAACAGCAAACAGCACTGAGGAACAAAGGTCTGTACTCATAGCTCCAGGCTGATCGTCTCAGACCCTTCATAAGCTCAGTTACAGACACCATTGCAGAGGGAACAATACAGAACCTAGGTCAGTACTGAAGGAGTCTCTTTCTAGGCTGCAAATCCTCTCTCCATCCCGCATAGCTCTCAGAATTTCTTCAGAAAATCCGTCCTGTACACTGCACATCTCAAATCTTTCTTCGGGTTCAGAGTGCCCAGAGTGCCTCTTAGCCTGCCTTGATTTCTAAATGTCTTTTTTTTTTTTTGGTCACGATAGCTATGTCATCTGCTTCAGGTCTATTCTTGGGACAATCGTCTTTACTCTTGTCTCCAAGACTGTCACTCCGCTAAGGCTGGCAGCTAGAAGAAACCCATTTGCTTACTCTTGAGATTCTAACGATTCTCCAGATTCTACAAAGACTGTATGTAGTTTTCTGCAGGAGACAAAGTCTGAGCTGCATAACACATCATTACCTTCTTCAGGAAAAAAATACTTATATTAAAGACCCACTTAATACCAAGAAACAGAAGGAAATACCTGTTGCATCCATCTTCCAGAAGAATTAGTTTAGTGCAGAACAGACCAAATTTGAAACCTGCATGTGGAGGAGCTCTACACAGAAAGGCTGACAGTATTCAGTCCAATGGGTCAAGGCAGCATACAACAACATTGTATGAGATCAGGTGACTCCTGAAGAGCTTTAGCCAGATTAAGAATTAGTAATGCAAAAATAAACCAGGTTCCATCTTGGTTCCCCAGACAGGAAGCAGAGCACTAAAGGAGGGTCTCTGTCATCTTGTCTCTTATGCATGATCTCTGACAATGTAAACCAAGACTCCAATTTCATGTGGATGAAGGATATAGAAAGATGACAGTATGAAACACAGTCAAAATCCCAACAGATTTAATCTTTGCCCCACTAAACTGAATAGGAGGTTTTCTATTGATTTCACTGGATGTAGGAAGTTGTCCTACACACAAATGCATGCTTCAAGATGGCCTACATAAGAATTTATTAATAGCAAAAAGTTTAGAAAGGTTGTTTTGGCATATCTACACAATGTAGGATAATTACCATGTTGAAGTAAGACCGGATTTTGACCCCTCTTGCTAAATCCCAAACTATGACGTTTCCATCATGTCCAGCAGAGAAGAGAACTCTTGGATCAAATGGGTGAGGTTCAAGTACAAACACTTCATCTTCATGTCCCTGAAATTAAAGATACAGTAAGCTGTCCAAGAGGAATGTCTCAAACACTTACACAGGAATTCAATACAGTAGCACTGGTAACTGGAAACTATGAAAGTACCCAGCACAGAACTATGCATACTATGACCTTTTTTTTTTTTTTTTTTGAATATTATACTCTTCTCTTTCCAGTTGCAATTTTTAACTTCATAACAAGTACATTAAGTAAATCCCAATATTTTTGTTACGATTTTCAAAGCACAGAAAGTCTAAACCAACGTTTGACATTTTTGATCTTGATGCTTCACAGACTTCACTTTGTTTAGGCATACTAGCAGTTAGAAATTTTAGACCTGTAGAATTGGGTATTTAGCTAAAAGTTAGAGAATTAAGTTTTTTAAAATTAATACTAATTTTAAAGCTTTGCTTAAAATATTTCCATCTGGTGGTGTATCTAGTTATCTGGAGTTACGTTATTTTCTCAATGAAAAAAAAAATGGATCAGACTTTAGCATAAATGCTACTTGATTTATTCTAACTAGAGGACTATTTTTAGTATACACGGAACGATGAAGGTGCAGTAAGTTGTTCAGACACGGCTATTCTATCCATTAACTGTATTTCAAAACATCTGTCACACTAAATCAAGGTCAGAAGTAGCAAAAATTGTTTCCCTCTCTCCTTCTAAGATAGAAATTTAGGGGGAAAAGAAGTCCAAAATTAGTTTCAGACACCTCGCATAACAATGGAGGTTTGAACTTTTAAGCTTTAATTTCCAGGAATCCAGAGACAGACGTATCTATTATATTTCAATTATTTGGAAAGGTTTAAGGCAGCCTTCAGGTAGAAAAGAATAAGGAAGAATTTTGGTGATATATATAAAAATTATATAGATATATAAAATTCTGTATTCAGGATTGATTTATCAGGATGGAAGACCTTACCATGAGAATATGAATGAGTTGGCCAGTGAAAGAATTCCAAACTTTCAGAGTCATGTTATTTACTGCAGTTATAACAGAGTTGTCATGGCGGTCCCATGCCACCATGGTCACTTTCAGCTTTGTGATTTTATCTTCAACTCCCTGTAGACTTTGTCTAAAAGAAAAAAAGCAAGGAGAGTTTCAAAGCAATCCTAGTTTACAAAAAATACTGTTATTTCCATAGTAAATGGAAATATTTCTGTATTATGCTTTATTAGTAAGAATAGCAGCATTATGCTTTCAAGAACCTGGAGAAATGAAAGATGTTACCCACTGTATAACATATACCACCAAAAGAGACATTTATAGCTCCTTAAACAATGAGTATAGAGTCACCTTAATATTTTAAAGAATTACTATATTGATTTTTTTTTTTCCCAGATGATGCCCTCTGATACCTGACCTAACCCATTGAAGACTACCATCTGTGATATTTACTTACTAAAGAGTGAAAATCTAAACTAATCATTTGGTGAATAAATCTGGCTTGGAGAATATTTATATTAGGCAGCCATAGGCATAGACAGAAGTATTCTCATATCTTTCAGTGAGTTTAACTGTCAGGCCATATTGAGTACTATACCACTACCCTTACACCACTTTACTATCAGTAATAACAGTGCTTGATCTTGCAGGCATCTTATTTTTATCTACATGAAAGCGAAACACCAGCCATTTGTAACATAAAATATCAGAACACCCTCAAACCACATTTTTGGGACTGTGATTTAAAGATGGAACACTGTTGAATTCTCGAGTGCATTAAATTCTGGGAAAACATCAAAAGCAACAATAGCATGTTACCACTAAAAAAGCAGATACAAAACACAATCTTCAATATACCATGTATTTTAATATATGAAACAGTATTACACACTGTACAACTCAATAATACAAGAAGTGGTTGTAAAACCACATTCCTTTCTGGATCAATGAGAAACCCAGGAGGCTTTACAAGTTGAATTTACTCTTTCCTCCCAGTGCAACGATTTCAATTTCTTTAATAAAATTGCACATGTGCAGACAAGACCAAATGTGGAATTGCACTTATCCTTCTAGTTTAAAGGACAAAACGGAACTCAGCTAAATCTGCTTCACTGAAACGAGTTCAGTGTCTCAAAGGAGTTTAGTATTTGTGATTGTAATGAAAAAGAATTAATCCTTATTTTTCCGGGATCAATTAAAACTAAGACTTTTTACAGGTTGCATTTTCAAGAGAGATTAACTCCGCCTTTGTTTTCACGCTGCCAGTGCTCTATAGACTCTCAAAGATAGTTTTATTGTATCTGACAGTAATCGACGCTTTCTGATCCAAATTTCTAGCTGAACTGTACCATATTTAGCCGCCCTCTTCCACCCCTCCCTCGGCCTTTCAGCCATTTCTTCCGCTTTACTCCTGATGTAATTTTACATTTTTTTCCATCAAATACTCCCTTTCAAACTATTCAATACAATCAGTAAGTAGAAAAGTTTTATGCCTTAAATCATAAAAACTTTCTAATCTAAGTCAGTTGGTATCCATTTATCTGTACAAACTAAAAAGATCTAAGGCACAATTTCTACAGAACCCTTCTTCAGCCTCATGTCTCTTCTCATTTTTTGGCAAAGGTAACACAACCCTCCATTTAGACTCTGGTCTACCATAAAGGAGTTTCCCATACTTACAAAGCCTTGTAAATTCTCAGATTATTTTGGCAAGTGAGAACACGTCACACGGAAATAATTTATTTGCTCTGGCATGCAGAATAAACTAACCCAACACTGATTTTCTGGATATGCAGATTCCACAACAATTTTTAAGTATTACTAAAATGCAACAGGTCCTAGATCTGACTTGGCTTTCTGGGTCCAGAAACAAATACCTCCTTAAAAGGCCATATAAACTTCACCTTTGATGGGTTTCACGTATCTTTTATGTTTTTAATCTAATCAAAGTACTAGCAGAGTTATTATCAGAACAAGCTAATTTCCAGAGCTGAGTAAGCAATCAAATATTTGTTTTCATTGGAGTTAAAGAGCTACACCAGCATACTGTATGTTCAACCCATAACCGTTTAAGATTTTTTTTTTTTTTTTTTAAAGTCAGCAAACAGTATTTGAATTGAACGGACTTCAAATATCTGCCTGATAGCGGAACATTTTACATTACTTACCCTGCTGGGCGAGTAGCCATATCTAACAAAATGCTTTTCCATTCCCTTCGCTTAAATTGCCAGATCCGCGCTGTTCCATCACGGCTTCCACTCACAAATCTAACAAAAGGAAAAAAAGGTTTACTCAAGAGACCAAAGTGAAAGATGTACAGAAAAATAAGCAAACAAAAACAATTTAAAAAAGGGTAAAAAGTTACAGAGCTCAGAACTCAAAAAATAAACTACGGTAAGAACTTCGGTAACTATTCATATGGCAATAAAAATATACATTAGAACATCATTTAAGAGTCAGAAACTTCATAAATAAACTGAATTATTTTCTTTAGCACCACTATTCACATCTAACATCCACAACTTCAGTGAAGCATTAAAGGTTAGACTAGTTAGACAAAACATTCTTAGAGTTTGATAGTCTTCCTGTATTCAGCAGTCAATTTAAAAAGAAATTGTATTTTTATATACAAATATATATACATATATGTATCTAAGAAAAAGTTAAAATATGTTATAGTATTCCTTAATTTTGGTAAACTCAAAATACTTTAATCATTCTTTACAACGAGAATGACCATAAAACTGAAGAGTTTCATTTCACTAGTGAGAATCCAATAAACTCTGCTGATGTAACAGATGAGTATGCTGCACGAACCTAAAAGTAGAAAATGATTTTTTTTATAACTACTTCCAGAAGCTGATATTTACAGACATCCAAAAGGCCAAAAAAAACTAGCTCTGAAAGAGCAACTGTTTACTTACCTGCTACTACTATTAGAAAATTGAATGCTATCAACTTTGTCCTATATAAAAAGAAAAAACAACAATAAAAAAAAATCAATACTGATTCCAAATTATCCATACATTTTAATCAAATACATATGTAATTTTAAAATAATATTTACAGTATGAAACTCCAACTCTGATATCTTCTCTGGCTGACCTGATCCAAAGAAATAAACCCTAATGATGTGATCTGTACTCCCAGTGGCCAAAAACATTCCACCTGAGAAAGGCAAACACAGATAAGCAACTCATAAGAAAAAAAGAGTGATCTAATGTTATTACAATACTTTGAAGTGCCTGTAACATTAAAATTATTCCCGTTAAATTTATAACCATGTCTCATTTCAGGTCTGCCTGTAACTAACCTTTAAATAAAAACAAGAGCTTAACTGAAGACTACACTAAGTTGAAGTAATTCACACGTGCTGTCAGGTAAGTACGCATTTTAGGACATATCTGAAGGATTAGCTAACTTTTCCACCTGCAGTAATTTGTCTCTGACTAAGCCCATAGAGGCCTCAGTCTTAGCGAACTACTTCTGAAAATACCTCTTTGCGGTTTTGATATTTTATCAAATTTTTTATGTTGCATTCTTTACTAATTGCCACTTCCAGGGATCACGGAAATTCAGACCTTGAGAATCTGAGAACAAACACCTCCTCATCCAAACCCGTAAAGATTCCATGTTACGTAAAGCAGACTTTAATACTTACACTCTCAAGAAAAAGGTATATGTCACATTTTAAAGGATTTCCAGCCAGTCACAAGACTGTTGTTTTCAACATTTTACACGTGACCGTTTTCAAGATTTTCTGTATCATCAAGAGTTTATGCACAGATTCTGAATATCTATCATTAATATTTGGGATTTTTAAAATCACTTTAACTCATTTTAAACCTACTAACAAATATGCTACAGTAACTCTATTATACTTCATTTTACTCTCAAAATGACTTCTTAGTTTGAGACAAAGGAAAAAAGAAAGTCCTTTACCAGCACTAAAAGAAGAACAGATCATTTGGACTCCGGGCCGAGGGCGTTCTGTAAACTTTGTTGGCCTTGGACTACAAATAAAGAAATAGTTAAATGATTTCCTCATAGGTTTCAAAAACAAGTCAGTGTCTTAGAAATAAAGCACAGAAGGACAAAATTAAATACGAAGGAACAGATGGTTGCCCATCTATAAACAATTCAGTGTGACTATGCTTCATGATCTGATCTTTAGGAAACTAAGACATCCAGATGGACCAAGCAATGCACGTATCAAGGAGAGCTGCATCACACCTTAAATTCTGCTCCTCCCTCCCCCAAATATTACTATACAAAAACGCTCTCCTAAGTCACCTGCAAAGTAGAAAGGAAGACACCAGAGCCAGTTATCCATGACGTTCAGTTTTAAGCCAATGAATTCTAGAACTCTGGTCGTCTCTGGCAGTACATGGCTTGACTACAAGAGATAAACAGAGCTCTTTATAGAAAAGGGTGCAAAAGAAATTTTAACAAATTTGAAGTATTTCACAGTGTTTAGAATGTACCAGGTTGTTCTGAAACCATATATTCTTGTGGGTGGCACTAGTTTCACATTGCCCCCCGAGGATTTTAGGACAATGGCTGGAAGTTTATAAGAAATTTTACTTTATGCACTGTACTTCCTTTCAGATGTTTCAATACATGAAGTGCAAGCAGAACTAAAGCTTCAATGGATTTAACACTTTAAGAGTGTATAAAAACAAAAAATCAAATCTGGTACTTCAATCATTACTTGAATTCTGCTCATGTACTGCGGCAACCTCAAATCAGTAGGTGGTCTTACACAGTATACCATCTGCAGTCTTCATTCCTTAAAGAATACACTCACTAGATAACTGCAGCATTACACCCACAAGTGTCATCACTGAAGATTTGTTTGGATTCTTTCAACATAAAGAATGCATATTCACAATTCATGTAAAATTTTATCTTTTAAGAGCAAAATGGTCCCCAGAACTATCATTTATTTCAGCTGAAGGCAGAGTAACCCTCTTCATCACACGTATAAGAGACCTTTCCCCACCCTGTCAGTCATTGCTACCTCAAAAAAACAAAAGAGTAAGCATTAAACCTTAATAGTGGCTACGCATAAAGTAAAGTAATGAACACAGTGAGACTATCAATTAACAAATCTTTTTCCAAATTGCTCATTCAGTATAGGATGTTTCTGTGAATCTTTTATAAGAGTTTTCAGGCGCTCTCCTGCCAAGATGCGTGGCAGGGAAGCATCACAAGATACACGAGACGATACATAGATCTATTATGCAGAACAATTTAAATCCTTCTTAATTGAGATACTAACACAAAAAGGACTATCAGAAGATTCAATATGCAGCTTATGCAATTTTGAGTAAATATAAGTAGATATATAGGCTGCTGCTTTCCTTCACTGCAGTTTGTGAACTCTGCCTGTAGAGTTAGTACGGCTACAAAATAGAGCAAGTAATACACTCAGCTTCTGGTTTTGGATAACCAAGTTAAATTCTCCAACTTCAGTCCATTTAATGCATGTTATTTAAGGCACTGAAAGATAAAAGATTATAGTATTCTTTCACACTAGAGCAGGTTATAGTCTTCACAAAATTGAGATGGGCAATCAGTATTTCAAGAGCTGGATGCATGTCTAAAGTATCAGCGTTCTGGTGGGGGGGGGGGAGGGAAAGGAAGTTGGACCAAAAAAAACCTTTTTTGCAACATACAGAAACCAAGTTAACTGCTCATGTTACAAAAATTCTCAATCTACTTATATAAGTAGCTGAAAGGCACTAAGATACCTTCACAAACATTTCACAGACAGGTCCACAAAAGCCCTGGAAAACCATTTTAAGTTCCTATTAAGTTCACTGTGGACCAAGAAATGAGAGGCTGCTGTCAAAAAGGAACCTGCAGTAAAGGGCAGCAGACAAAAAAGCAATTTCATCCATGTACCTCAACTGAGGGACACACACATCCACACCAACACCCGAGAAAATCCTCATCTTCAAGATGCTACAATGATGTCAGCACGGTTGCATAATCCAAGCCCCACACACTAATCTCCCTCTGCATGTTCAGTGACTCAAGAGAGACTCCTCCCTGGAAGACAGGTGTGTGACCTAACCCCTCCAATTCAAGTCTTTGCTCATGAGCTAACGAACAAAGTCCAGAGCATCTGAATTCTGATGTACGACCGGTCTCTGTAACACTAAGTGCCTTCTACATAAGAAAGTATGTAGCAATTATCATACGATACTGATGACAATTGAGAAATTAAGACTTTATTTTCTAAAATAGGATTGTCAAAATCACCAGCACCTGTCTTTTCTAAACCTTTCTCTTTTGAATATTACAGAAAAATATTAGAAAATAACAGCAGTATAGCTAGCTCCTCTATCCAAATTTGTGACAGGTTTCAACCGCCTTGGCGGCATGGCCTGCCAATGACAGACTCATGTTGGAAACTTGTGACCCAAATAGATGGCAGAAGAATAATGAGACAACTCAGTATCTTTCTCAGAAAGAGAAGTATATGCAAGTATTTGCAGTGCAACTAGTTTAACTTTTGGGCACTGACCAGCTGTAATACTTCCTCCCTCAAACCTGAAGCAGACTGTTCTTCAATTCTGACGATTTGAAGTTGATTCTCTCTCTCTTCTCCTGACTGTCAAGTGATACATGATGTGACTCATGTTTTCCATCATGATCCAGAATAACAACAGGAGACTAAATACTGGGGAAAGTCTCGATTGCTTAAATTGTTCATCATTTTCCTATCTTCCTTGTATAACCTAATTTCCTTCCTCTGCAGCAATAATCAACCTTTGTGTTCATCTATTTAGAAACTAAATTAATCTCCCTGGAATTATAAGGTTTTTGGGCATACCTGGTAACTGCCTGGTCAGAAATCTCTGCATTGAAAGAACAGGAGTGTGTAGGAGGCTCTGCAATCCTCCACTGAAGAACGTGTCACAGCCACACTACACAGAAGCATGTGAACAGGGCTAATTGCTCTTTTTATAAATGATACGAGAATTTTGGGGTGAACCATGCCATGTCTGCCTTTCACCCTTTCGCACGGAATCTACTGTAAAGTGTCCTTTTGCTGTTTATCAAAACAGAGCTCCGTGACCAAGCATTTCCCCTCTGGGCCGTATGTACGACTTAGATACAGAATAGGCCTTCCTTAATGACGTTATCCAAGAACCGAACAACGTGGGAAGTCTCATTTCACAGATTCTATTACTGCTGTAGCAGAGCTGCCAACAAATCGCAATACAACGGCGTTTGCAATCCAAGAACAAAACAAAGTAAACATTTGCAGAGGGAAAAAATAAAAATCAGAACTAGGATAGGGCACTAAACATTAGAAGGCTTAAAGGATATCAAAGTTTCCTTTCTGACGGCAAATAATAGTTTGAGGTAATCCCCGTAATTTTTCAATTCTTCATTAAGATAAATAATTGCTTCGTAACCTTCTGACTTATTTTTCATCAAGCAAAGTGTAGAATAAAGAATAATTTCCAGTACGCTCATCTCCTGAAGAAGGTGACAAGGAAAAGATTTCCTTGACAGAAGGGAGGGACTAAGTCTAGCTTAAGTTACTGAAAGAGAACTGGTTGATCCAATGGTTGAACCCAGATTGGATGGATAAATCTGAAACAACTTCCATTGCTTCCACTGCAGTTAAGAACAGAACTGATTATCTTGAGTTTGTGCGCACGCTGCACAGAGTGGGGTCTCCAAGTGCCGTCTTTCCCGTATTTTAGGAACGGGTTCAGCAAAGCACTGCTGGCACTGCCTATCACACTGAAATAACAGCCACATGATTAGCATGAGGTTGCCTGAGAGTGCATCATTTTAACTCAATGCCAGATGATTCAAGCAGTGCTGAGTATAAAAAGCAGTTCTTTCTTAAGCAACCGAAACTTCCAAGACTTTTCACTGTTAGTTCAGTTCTTAACACACTGGACATTTTAACAACGTACCTCCATCAGTGAGAGCAACTCCATTTTTGAAAGAGAAGACTGCAGACACTTTCAGAAGGAGCATGAGATTCTTAAGTCAGAATTTAATATGACAATGCTCTTGACCTGTACTACTCATATCTTTCACTTTTGCCTGAAATCTCTCAAACCTCTCATTTCTCCTCTGGGGCGGGGAGACAGTGATACGGGGTTCAAGCTCAGAACCTGAATAACTGTCGTAAGAGATCTTATTTTCTCTGTCATCCTTCCTCCTTTATAAAGACAGTGAATGGAAGCAAGTCTGCATTTTTTACTATAGTGATAAAACAAAGGACAAACTCCCCACCCCACCAGTTACTTACTTTTTCAGATGGCCTACACATCATGTTTTGAAAAATGACCTTGCAAAGTGCCTTATGAAAGAAATTAACAGGTATCTCTTTCCTTTATTGCTGACACGCTTCTACCCCAATGTGTTACTGAACGAATACGGAGGGAATCTGCCATATTTCTGCAGTTTTGGAAGCAGATCCAGATCTAAAGGTGGAAGGAAGTGCTATCACCTCATCCAAAACTATGTGGCAACCCCCGCCCGTCACTGAGATGCCAGTCCACACTGTGTGGACCTCCTTATGAATAATTACACTGGATTCTTAGTTACATATTATCACTTAATATGGCTTATGTGAATAAGCATGACAATCACAGTTGAAGTTTAAGAGTTCAGAAAAATTTCAAGGCAAGCTTTTGTGTAACTAACAAATTCCCCTGAATTAGTATATTTAATTTAATAGGCGCTACATTTAGGCTTTTCTAGGTGTCCAACTCTTTCAGCATCTTCATGGACTCAGTGAAACGCTTTGAAAGAGTAACACTTACCTGGATCCCACTCTGAGCAACACCCACTTACACAGTTCATAAAACTGGTCCTTTTAAGACTTGCAAGGAATATCTCAGCCCACAGTTAAGTGTGGCAATTATTTACAAAAGACACATTGCAAAGCCAAGACCACAAACAGAACAGCAATGAAACAGAGGTCAGTGTATAAAAATTAATGTACAAAGTTCTGAGCTTGTTATAGTGAATTGGTATGGCTATCCTGAGGAAAAGAATCACTTCACAGCGAAAGACACAAAACTGCCTACAGTTTACATATGCAAATATCAAAAAGGCATCAAGCAGAAAGTTATATGAACATGAAACAAAAAACAAATCACATTAATACAGCAATATAGTACAAAATAAGGCCTTCACATTGAATAAGACACATATTGGGGCAGCAGTTAAATAACTGCTAATAATTTAATGCAGCATATGAATTTCCCAATGAATGTATCTGCCAAATGTATGACATGTGGCAGCACCTAACTATCTGTCTTGTAACAAAACATACTTCTCATGCATTTTGCAAGCAAAGAGGAAAAGATCAGGGAGATAATCATTCCTACTTTCCTCCAATAGAAATAAAATTTTAAGTAGTAGAATTCTGCCTTTTCTTCTGCTCAGTAATGTATTCTCAGAGCAGCAATGGAAGTTGTGCATGAAAGTGGCTTTGAACTGCTGCTGAAAGCCTCCAGCTGTACCAGAGGAACCACCAGTATCATGCTGATTCAACACTACAAAGACATCTCGTAAAAGGGGAAAAAAAAAGTCAGAAGGGGAAAATAAACACAGAATTGAAAAAAGACTTAAAACCTTTTTTTAAATTTTTGTCCTTTGCTATTAAATAGGAATGAGATTACAGTTTTCCTTTTCCGAAGCTAATCACTGCTACTTCAGCAGTACAAGGTATTTCTTTCGCATCACTCAGACATCCCTTATTTCACATCAGAAAATACCCCTTGACCACAGGTCATACAATTATGTCCCATTCCCAAAACACATACTTGCTTCTTATTAAGACTAACATACTTGTATCAAGTTTTACTATCAATCAAAAAGTATCAGTAACTTCAAGTACACAGAACAGTAGTAATGGGTTAGAATAAAAATCTTAAACCAGTATGCTTAACCAATATAAACCAGTATAATTTTGACCAAAGTGATCAAAATTAGATAAGTATGTATGTAGAAAGCATGCTGTGGTATCTCTCTACACCTCCATATAAACTTTCAGCACTCGTAACATCCTGCGGCAAGAAGTTTCAACGCTCAACTGCATGCTTTGTTCAGAATCGCCTCCTTCCATTTCAGAATTGGCTACCTTCACTTGACACCCCTTTAGTATGAGAAGGGACAATGAGCAATTAATCTTTATATGCCTTCTTCAAGAGAGCCATGACTGTAATTTGAAAAGGGCCAAAATGCCCTTTTAATCCATATAACCATATCTCTGTGAACTCAGCCTGGGAAACAATAATTTGGCATTTTCTCTCATTAGTTTCCCGTGTTGACCAAATCAAACTGCAGGTAACTGCACAATATTTTCCCCTCTGCATTGGCAGTACCATTCCTGACATTTTAAAAACATAGCTTACTGCTTTTGGAAGATTAAGGTTAACTTAAAAAAAAAATCTTATGAAAGTCCCCAAAACTGACACTATTATCAAATCAGTAGGAATTCCACCTTTCTACCGTTCCTTGGTCTCCTCTTATTTCCGTTTAAAAAAGTACAGTAAAATAAAGTACAGTAAAATAAAGTACAGTAAAATAAAATACAGTAAAATAAAGTACAGTAAAAAGAAAAAAAAAAGTAAGATAAGCACACTGCCTCAGAAGCCTTTAAAAAGCAAGGCTAAGATTTCGCTGTGTCAAGAAGAGCTCGGACCTTAAGAAAAATAACGTGTTGGTAACTCCTCTCCTTAACATAGTGAAATAAGTGTGCCAAGCCATCTCTTCCTCTTTTCCTCAGCACCAAGGAGCGCTACATTGATTACAGCGCGTGCCAGACAGCAGAGGATTAACAGACAGAGAAGCAGCCTCATCTAGAGCATGAAACAGGAGAGTCAAAATGCCCAGAGAACACCAGCTACAGAAGTGGCAAAGCTAGCTGCAAGCCCTGCATACCCTTAGCACACTGGAAGAAAAAGATTCTAACAGCAAATGCCCAAACTGCAAGAAAACGAAACCAGTCTATCAGAATATATATCTAAGAATACATCCCATCCTCAAAATTACATTATTAGTGATTAAAAACAGCAATTTTCAAATTTAAGCTACAGATGTTTTGTGATGATGGAAAAAAAAAAAAGCAGTATAAAGTACTTTAAAAACATTTAAAAATTCTTTTCACACATTACAAAAAACTACCACCATATTTTACTAGATTAACAGAGATGCAGCAAAACTAGGCACATATCTATCTACCCCACAAAAACCTCAATGCTCAGTTATTAACGTAATCCTTCAGAGATAAGCAGGCAACCTATAGCTACACCAAAAATAGATGATACCCAAACATATAGACTGTGAACCAACCAGTGACAGGTTTTTTCCCAATCAGATTCTTTGCTAACATTTGTACATCATTAATTACAGACAAAGAAGTAACAAGAAGTAAAATAGCAACTAACTTTATTTTAAGGGTGCCAGCATCCCACAGCCAAAAGCATATCGTTCCATCTGCCCCAGTTGAAGATAAGTATCTCTTTGAGCCACTGCACAGTGGAGAGAACTGGGGAAGAAGAAAAAAAAAAAAAAAGAAAAAGAAAAAGTCACATGTTAATCTGTTCCAGACTATTGGTATTTTTCATCATGTGCCATAAAACTCCTAAAGTCATTGACCTCTCATAAAAAAATTCAGGTATCCAACCATACTCATGAAAAAAAGTAATAAATTGCAACAAGCACCAAAACAACACGATGCTTCTCAGACTAACTGTCTCCCTCCAAAACAACTTTCTTGGATTACTTGCCAAAGCACTCTGGGCTCTCCCTCCACACAATCCAAGATTGTACAAGCACAGAACACTGAAGAGGAAAACTATTCAGCAGTCAGTGCAGTTCTTGGTCTATGCACCTGTATTCAGAACTACAGCCTGTGAAGAAATGATACTTCAAAACAGAACCGTCCACACGTCATGCAATTTTTTATAAAATCAAAGGACAAGGATTATGGCTTGCATTTTTCACGTGTCAGACATTTCGACAGTAAAAAGAACTGATGTGTACCAAGAGAATCTCTTTTCCATTCACGGCTTGATTGTCAGATACGCATTTTTATTACATAGAACATTCTCAGGTGGTTTCTTTTTCCGTCAAACAAAATTTTATTGCTTAGATGATTTCACAAAACAAAATCCTACCTGCAATGACGTTATAGATGCACTGTGGCCCTGCAGAACTGCTAAGGGTGCACATGTTCGAAGGCACCAAACTCTGATCATTTTATCACAGCTCCCAGCAGCTATCATGGTGTTTTCATAGTTCACTGCCATATCAGATATTTCAGCTGCGTGCCCTCTCAGGGTAGCCAGCAACCTTCCATCATCTGTTGCCCAGATTTTTACCAGACAATCATCTGATCCCTAGAAGTAAGGCAGAAATCATTTCAACCACACCACAGCTGTTTTGATATCACAGTTAAATAATACAAGGAACTGAACAACAAAATCAGTGGCACACAGTATTTTTTAACTACGTTCTAAATACTTTTTAATTGCTTTCCACACTGCATTCAAAACACAACATAAAATCACATTAATTCTCAAGAGTATATGCAAATCATACACTTATAATACCAATCATAAATTCTACAGCAAGCCGTATTTAAGCTCTTCAGCAATACGCTTCACTTTTTTTCAAAACTCTAGTTCAAACTGAAGTAGGCAGTTGCAATACATTAAAATTTACTTTAAATGTGAAAATCAATTATGAATTGGTGTAGTGTTTCTGTCATTTAGTATTATACTCATTTTTATTCCATGACTAGTTTCTCCTTCATGTCCCACCAGTCTCGGAAGTATACTTACCATGGGAAGAGTGAGGTAAAGAGTAACAGAACAGCTGTTCATACAAGCAAAGTCAAAGTATTGTAAGTCTGCTTTGATATTCGCAGTGACAAATGCTGAAATGACCGTTCTCAGCAAACTTCAGAGGCTTCACCTATCTATTCATGCTTAACTTCCATTTTGCTGGTCTCCCCACATCACTGTGGCCACTATTTGCCTGTAACACATCCAAAATCCTAGCTAAAAATTCAAAACTTAATCCTTCAGTTTTCAGTGCAGTTCTGAACCTCTCTGAAAGAGTCAAATTCTTCCCACCTCTCTGAACACAATGAAATTTCAATACTGCAGAGACAATGACAGAAGAGATTTGCACAGTTCCAGAACTACTGAGTCAAACTGCCTGCAAGCCTCAAAGACAGCTATTCCTCTGTACATTTCATGCATTTGCTTAAGTTCAGAAAGAATATAAAGGAGGGAGCAGGTTGCATTTACTTGAGCGTCTGGAACACTGATCTACTACTGGACACATTCAGGCACAATAGTAAGTTATAATGTACCACCACTGTAACAAAGCTTCTCTTCGATTTTTCCTCTTCCATCTACTTGTAGTGTCTATCTATGTGTGTTATCAAGTACTTATTCTTTAAAGAGCATGGAAGGCAGAGCAAAATCATTGTCCACAGGTATCTAAAGCACAGAAGGACCAACAGTCAGATTTTAAAAAGATTGGTAGGCATCTGGTGAAAACATGCCTCTATAACCAAAAGCGTCAAAAATCTATTTAGAGGCTACAGATACTACTTTCAATATTAAAGCTTTTAAAAGCACATAAACGATAAAGTTCTCCTTATCTCTTGCACACTTTAGTCTAGATGCATGTAATTATACAGAGATCCTACACTGCTACAGCTCAATTTAGCTACTCTTCTCTTCCAGACAACCTAATCCCAGGACAGCAACACCCAACTCCGGAAGCCCTCACCAACACATAAACAAAGTAGGAAGTAGAACAGTTCCACGAAAAAGCCAGGCAAAAATTCCAGAAAGCAGTTTCAATAGGAACCCTGATACATCCTACAGCTTTTTTACCCTGCATAACAGGATTTTGAAAGCTCTTCTTTCTATTTTTTGTTATTAGATACTGACTGGTCTGTTTACATTACGTTCATGTTGAACAGAACTTACTTCCTCTCATTTGCTTTACTTTCTATGTACTCATTAAAAATGGTGCAGCTCTCTAGCTCAAAAGGTAGGTAAATTTTAGTCATTACACTATACTTGTTCAGATTCAAATTTATCATCTGGGAGGAAGAAGGGAACAGCATACCTGAGGTTATCTCACAATTTTATTATACATCCACTTTCATTTGTAGCACCACTCAGCAAACTAGGCAACTGCCTCAGGCTGACTTTTTGTTTAGAGAGCAAGGAGTTGTTTCTTCTCCAACCACATGGGAAATATTAAATGGCTGCCCGGCTCACAAAGTCAGTTATTTACAACGTTTTTTCTTTTCCTCCGTTATTTACATCGATTCAGACAAGACAACATATCTCTTAACACCAGAGAAATACAACCATATTCCCCGTTTTCGGAACAGTAAAAAGGAAGCTGGTGGTATTTAGACATGATGAGAAGTCTTTATCTCTTAAGATCTGCAAAAAGGCTACTTTGGAGTATTACTGACATTTTAACCTAGCAGAAGCTGTTTTGCAGAGGACAACGGATACGTGCAATCAAGATAATTTAAAGTTAATTTTCAGACTGCCTTGACAGGTGGCTTTGACTTACCAGCTGTCAGACTTCTAGCTTTCCTCAGATGGGCACAACTCTTTTTTCCAAGGGAATCCTTCCCACCTGCCCCAGCTCTCTAAGAGGTACACCCATGAATGCAGAGAGATTTGGGGAGAGATGGGGTAGGTGGCTTTCCCCACACCTTTCCCGTAGTCATTTTTGGTATAAACTCTTGGCCTTCCAATTAAAGGTTTTCAAACAAATTCTATACCACTTGCACATTCTTTTTAAACAAGCACTTGCTCCTTCTTCCCTGAATCAGAAAGTTACCATTTGAGACTTCAGACTTCTTTTTGCTCCTGCAAGGATACTGAGGGCTGAAGAGTATCAGTGCTTTATGACAGCACTGTTCAGTATATTATCTAATATTTCACTAAAGATGTTCTTCCCTTGTGCATTCTCTGGTTAGTTACTGCAAACAGCAGCCAGTTTTGTTTCTAAAAGCTTTCTTGGAAGTGGGCTTGGTGCAGGGATATAGCTATTCTAAAAAGGAGGGAATAAAGGAAGTTTGTTAATAATTACATTTTCCGCCTCTTAGGTCAGGAAAGCAAAGGTACAGCCTATACTATTTCTACTTATGCACGAAACCTCCATCGAGAGATTCTATGGGACGTATTTAGCTAATTAGTATACCGTGCCAGCCCAGGGACAACAACCCCAGATCACACAGTTAAAAAGGAAAGGGTAAATTAGAAGCTGACAGAATCACAGAATAACCAAGGCTGGAAGGAACCTCTGGAGATTGTCTACTCCAATCCTCTCCTCACATCAGGGTCAAACAGAGCACACTGCTAAGAACCTTGTCCAGTCGGGTAATGAATACCTCCAAAGATGGAGACTACGCAACCTCTCTGGGCAACCTGCTCCAGTATTCACTCACCCTCAAGGTAAGACATTTTCTGGTGCTTAAACAGAAGTTCCTGTAATTCAGTTTGTGCCCACTGCCTCTTGTCCTGTCACTGGGTACCACTGAGAAGAGTCTGGCTCTGTCTCCTTCACTCCCTCTCATCAGGTATTTATACACACTGATAAGATCCCCCTGGTGAGAAGACCAGGCTAAGAAGTCCCAGCTCTCTCAACCTCTCCTCCTATGTCAGAGGCTTGAGTCCTTTTACCGTATTTATGGCCCTCTGCCGGATTCTCTCCAGTAAGTCCATGTCTCTCTTGCACTGCGGAGCCTAGAACTCAACCCAGCACCCCAGGTGTGGCCTCATCAGCGCTCAGTGACCTCAAGCGCACAATACTGGCTTATGCCCAACTTGTTGTCCACCAGAACCCCCAGAACCTTTTTCTGCAAAGCTGCTTTCAATCAGTCAGCCCAGCCTGCACTGGTGGTTATGCCTCCTGGTGGTACATGGGGTTACTCCTCCCCAAGTGCAGGACTTGGCATTTCTGTTTGCTGAACTTCGTAAGATCCCTGTTGGCCATTTCTGCAGTCTGTCAAGGTCTCTCTGAATGGCCACAAAACCCATGTGATGCATTAACAACTCCTTCCAGTTTGGCATCATCTGCAAACTTGCTGAGGGAGCACCCCGTCCCATCATCCAGACCATTAACGAGTTAAACAATACTGGCCCGAGTATCAACCCCAGTATCGACACCCTGGCAGACACCACTAGTGACCGGCCTCCAGCTGGATTTCGTGCTGCTGATTTCAGGACTTTGAGCTCCAGCATTCAGCCCATTTTAAAATCACTTCATTGACAAGTTATCCAGTCCACACTTCAGCAGTTTGTGAGCAAGGACGCTATGAGAGACAGTGGCATAAGCCTTGCTAAAGTCAGGATGAACAACATTTTCCCCTCTTCCCTCATTCATCAAGTCAGTTAGCTCACTGTACAACTCTTATCAGGTTGGTCAGGCATGATTTCCCTTTGTTAAGTCCATATTGACTGCTGCTGATCAGTTTCTCTCTCTTGTCCTCCCCAGTACAAGAGAGAGAAAGCACTACTGGAGAGAGTCCAGCAGAGGGCTACAAAGATGATGAGGGGACTGGAGCATCTCTCCTCTGAAGAAAGGCTGCGAGAGCTGGGCCTGTTCAGCCTGGAGAAGAGAAGACTGAGAGGGGATCTGACCAATGTCTGCAAGTATCCGAAGGGAGGGTGTCGAGAGGGTGGGGTCAGACTCTTCTCCGTGGTGCCCAGCGACAGGACAAGAGGCAATAAGCACAAACTGAAGCACAGGCAGCTCCATCTCAACACGAGGAAAAAAACTTCTTTCCTGTGAGGGTGACAGAGCATTGGAACAGCTTGCCCAAACAGGTTGTGGAGTCTCCTTTCCCCGGAGATATTCAAAACCTAACTGGACATTCCTGTGCAATGTGCTCTAGAGGACCCTGCTTGATCAGGGGGTTTGGACTAGACGATCTCCAAAGGTCCCTTCCAACCTCGGCCATTCTGTCCTTCATATGTTTGGAAACTTTACCGGGCTCGTTTGCTCCACCACCTTCCCAGGGATCAAGGTGCGACTAACTGGCCTGTAGTTCCCCAGATACTCCTCCCTGCCCTTCTTCAAGGAGGGAGTGACATCCCCTTTCTTCCAGGCCTCACACATCTCCCCCACCCCCCCCATCACCGTGACTTCTCCACATTAATGGAGAGTCGCTGCACAACGACATCAGGCAGCTCCCTCAGCGCTCCCGGGCGTCTCCCACCAGGTCCTGTGGACTTACGGACGTCCAGGCCGTTGAAGTGTTCCCTAACCCTCATCCTTCTCCACCGAGGGCAAGTCTCTCTTGCTCCAGACTTTCCCGTGGGTCTCAGGGACCTGGGATGCCTGAAGGCAA